CTGTCGTTGCCCGCAGGGCCATTCGCGCGTCGTGCGCTCCTGGGGCCGCCTTCGCTGACTGGTTGCTTGTCGCTGCTGCCTGTGCGTTTGGTGAAGGGCGTCCGCGTCGGCGCGTGCGCTGACGTGCTCCTCGTGGCTTTGGTTGAGCTGGAGCCTGTGCGCGCATTCCTTCGAGCGCGCGTGACCACCCGTGCGCGCGCTGATGAGCAAACGCGCCCGGAGCGACGACAGGCAACCACTCGACCAAGGCAGCGGCCGGGAGCGACTACGGCCTACATGGCAAACTCGGGTCGGTCACTCCCGTGTTTCCTTTGATCATGACGACGACGACGTCGACGTCAACGACGGCGACGGCCACGACGACGACGACGCCGACGACGACGGCGGCGGCGGCGGCGACGACGACTACGGCGTTTTGACTAGGAATGCATGGGGGAGGGCTCGCTGAGGGGGCGACGACGGGGAACCCTTCAGCAAAAACAGCCACGCGCTCCATGTGTGCGTGATGAGTGGCGCCCGCCTCGTTGTGTGCGTTACGCGACGGCTCGCGGTTCTGTTGGTTGAGCGGTTGCATCTCGCTGCATGCAGGGCCATTCGCGCGTCGTGCGTTCTTTGGGCTGCTTTCGTTGAGTGGTTGCCTGTTGTCGCTCCCTGTGCGTTTGGCGAGTCTCGTCCGCGTCGTCGCGTGCGTTGACGTGCTCCTCGTGGTTTTGGTTGAGCTGTTTCCTGTCGTCGTTCGTCGTGCGAGCATCTGTTTGGGCGCGCGTGACCATCCACGCGCGCGCGCGCATCAGCAAACGCGCCCAGGGCGACGACAGGCAACCACTCAACTCAGACAGCCGCGTGAGGCGATCGCGGCCTACATGGCGAACTCGGGTCGGTCACCCCGTGTTTTCCTCTGAGGTCTGAGGATGACGAAGACGATGACGACCACGATGACGACGACGGCGGCGACGACAACTACGACGCAGACGACGACAACAACGACGGCGGCAACGTCGACGACGACGATGACGATGGGGCGAGCGCTCCCCCCTGTGGCGGGAGGGGAAGGGAGAGAAGAGCGATGGGAGGACCAGGGGCAGCAGCATCAGCAGCAGCAGCAGCAGCAGCAGCAGCAGCAGCAGCAGCAGACGAGTTCAGCGGACCAACACTTAGTGTTCTCCTGACGTATGTACCGCCCTATATATGGTGACCGGCCTCTCTGTTCTGATGACGGTCCCCGCGTTCCCGTGACGAGCCCACGTTCCCATTTCGGATTGCACCCTGTTTCGATGCCCCCATCCAGATTGCCCAGGGCTCCATCTCTCTCACGGTGCGCTACCTATGACGAAATTGCGATATCCAGAGCTACTCGCAGCTGCATCGGGTTGGGTCCTTCGCCAGGCTAATTTGCTTCAGGTGCACCCATTGGGCGATGTCAGGTGAAAAAGAATTTCTTCCCCTCCCTCTCCTCCTCTTTCTCCTCCTCCTCCTCCTCCTCCTTTTCCTTTTCATTTGTCCTCCTCCTCCTCCTCCTCCGCGAGCGCGCCCCACAGGACAATCTCGACCCCCTACGCGCTAGGGGGACCACTGGGACTCACGAGCCTCCCTGAGGCCGGTCTTTGAAGCCCGGGGGAAGCTGCTCCTTTGTGAGCTTCAAGATGGCCTTGTTTCCGCCGCTCTGCCTGTTCCGAGGGGGGGACACAAGCTTCCGTAAATTTCTTGGAGGCCCGCACCCGCCAACGCCCACACCGTCGACGTCAAAGGATCCCCCGAGGGACCGGGAGATGGGGTCGGTGGCTGGGGTGGATGGCGGGGCCTCCGTCTTCAACGCTGGGGACCTCCACTGACCGTGGGACCCGCTCGGACGCCTGGGTGGCCGAGGGGGGAGGGGCCGAACACACAGAACGAAACCAGCTTGCCGCGGACCTCCTGTGGGCCTCCTTGTGGCACCTGGCGGAAACGACCTGGTCCCCTCGAATTGCTGGCCAGTGGGAGGTCGAAGTTCAAGGGTGCTGGAAGGCCCTCTCGTTTCGCTCCCGCCGCAGAACCCTCTTGGTCTCGGCGGGAACTTCATTCACGGGATAATGGTTCCACCACATCATCTGCACAGCTGCCAGCCGCCCACGGATCTGTTCAGCAAGAGTGTCCAGGGCCAGCACTCGCTGCGCAAACTCCTGGGGGACGGCGGCTTGGGTGGCAACCTCACCTGCTAATTCGTCGGCTATGCTACTTGCAAGGATATCGCAGGCTGGAAAACGGACGCGTACATCAGTGTCCGAAGCATGTGGCTTGACCTGGAGGTATCTAACCTGGCCTGTCCGCGCGCCCAAGACTCTCCAATATTCTAGCTCTGGGCTCCACCCGAGGTCCAGAAGGGTCCCCATGACTGCACCGAGGTGACTGAAGACGTTGTTCCACCTCCTGGGCTGGCGAAGCTTGGCGACTGACTTGGGCCATGCGGCCGCTATGCCACTGCGGAGTTGCGGCTCGGTGGCGACGAGCTCGAACCGTCCTCCTCCTCTTCCTCCTCCTCCTCCTCCTCCTTCTCCTCCTCCTCTCCTTCATCCGTTCTTCCTCTGTTGCACCCCCAGACGTGTTGGCAGGGCGCGCCGGGCGTTTCTCCTGAGACTTTCCACCATTGATGATCCTGAAGCTTGAAACTTGTAATCGTTTCGCGGGTGGAGGGCGGGCCGTTTTCAAACTTCGGCTCTCGCCTTAGCGCCGTGCACGTTCGTCTCTTTCGTTTGCAGAAGTGAAGGCGATTCCTTTTGAAAGTGTGGCTCTCGCCTCGGCGCCTTGCACACTCGTCTTAAGCGCTTGCGACAGTTTCGAGGACTCGTGAAGTTTAAGCTCCAGAAGCGGTGTTCTGCACGATTTGGGATTGCCAAGGCGCAACAAACACGTTGATTCGTGGTGTTGACGTACCAAGACTTGTTCTGGCACGATTTAGGATTGTCAGGCCGCAACAGTCACGTTGATCCGCGGTTTTCGCGTCCCAGCAATCGTGTTTTGGCGCGATTGGGGATTCTCAGACGGTTGTCGTCTGATGGGCCACTTCCCGCAATTAACATACATTAATGTAAGGACCTCTGATTGTGGGAACTTTGACGGAGGGTTTATTGCAACATCGTTGATGCGTCTTGGGCTTACACTGATCCTCCTCCTCCTCGTCCTCATCCCCTTCCTTCTCCTCCTCCTCCTCCTACTCCTCCTCCCTCGCATCCTCATTCTCTTCCACGCCCTCATCCTCCTTTTCGTACTCCTTCCCCTCTTGCGCTCCCGCGCGCAGAACGAGTCGGAAGGACAGGAGGACGAGGGAGGAGGGAGGAAAAGGAGGGATGGGGGATGAGCACGACAAACCAATGATGAAAACTTAGCCTGGCGAAAGACCCAACCTTATGCAGTTGTGAGCACCGTCTTTGTGAGCAACGCATTCGGTGGGGTTCCCTATAGGGCCACGAAACGCTGCCCTGGGTGGGGGAACCGCATGCGAACACCCCCGCCGGGGCCTTCGGTGGAGCTCCCCATGGGGCCACGAAGCGCTGCCCTGGGTGGGGGAGAGCATGCGGGCACCCCCACTGGGGCATTCGGTGGAACTCCCTATGGGGCCACGAAACGCTGCCCTGGGTGGGGGAACCGCATTCGGGCACCCCCACTGGGGCCTACGGTGGAGTTCCCCATGGGGCCACGAAGCGCTGCCCTGGGTGGGGGAACCGCATGCGGGCACCCCCACTGGGGCCTACGGTGGAGCTCCCTACGGGGCCACGAAACACTGCCCTGGGTGTGGGAACCGCATGCGAGAGCAGCCACTGGGGCCTACGTTGGAGCTCCCTATGGGGCCACGAAGCGCTGCCCTGGGTAGGGGAACTGCATGCGCACACCCCCACTGAGGCCTTTCGGTGGAGCTCCCTATGGGGCCACGAAGCGCTGCCCTGGGTGGGGGAACCGCATGCGCCCCCCCCCCGCTGGGGCCATCGGCGGAGCTCCCTATGGGGCCACGAATCGCTGCCCTGGGTGGGGGAACCGCATGCGAACACCCCCACTGGGGCCTTCGGCGGGCTCCCCATGGGGCTACGAAGGGTTGCCCTGGGTGGGGGAACCGCATGCGAGCACCCCCACTGGGGCCGTCGGCGGGGCTCCCTGTGGGGACACGAACTCCCCATGGGGCCACGAAGCGCTGCCCTGGGTGGGGGAACCGCTTTCGACCCCCCCTCCACTGGGGCCATCGGCGGAGCTCCCTATGGGGCCACGACGCGCTGCACTGGGTGGGGGAACCGCATGCGACCCCCCCCGCACTGGGGCCATCGGCGGAGCTCCCTATGGGGACACGAAGCGCTGCCCTGGGTGGGGGAACCGCATGCGACCCCCCCCGCACTGGGGCCATCGGCGGAGCTCCCTATGGGGCCACGAAGCGCTGCCCTGGGTGGGGGAACCGCATGCGCGCACCCCCACTGGGGCCATCGGCGGAGCTCCTTATGAGGACACGAAACGCTGCCCTGGGTGGGGGAACCGCATGCGGCGGAGCTCCATATGGGGCCACGAATCGCTGCCCTGGATGGGGGAACCGCATGCGACCCCCCCCCCCACTGGGGCCTTCGGTGGAGCTCCCTATGGGTCTACGAAACGTGTGAGAGGTGTGCCGAGAGCAGAGACAAGGAGGGGGAGGAGGGAGGAGGGAGGGGGCAGCGGGAGGAACGCGGGGCGCTGTCTCTTCAAAACGAGGACCCAACAACACAGGTTGGTTGGGAATACAGAATTGAGGAGTAATGATGGAGGAGGAGCAATTTGGGAAAAAAGGAGGAGGAGGAAAAGGAGGAGGAGGAGGAGCAGGAGGAGGAGGAGGAGAAAGAGGAGGAGGAGAAAGAGGAGGAGGAGGATGATGATGAGGATGATTATGATGATGATGAGGAGGAGGAGGAGGAGAAGGAGGAAGAGGAGGATCAGGAGGAGGAGGAGGAAAAGGAGGAGGAGGATGGAGGATGGATAAGGATGGAGGAGGGAAGCGTCGAGGGCGCCGTCATACTTCGAAGACTCGCCAATGCAGCACGAGAGCATCACGCCGTGCGGGTCCTGACGGCGGGGGGCAGTCAGACTACGAGAGGCGGACAAGGAGGTGGAAGAGGAGGAGGAGGAGGAGGAGGAGGAGGAGGAGGAGGAGGAGGAGGAGAGAAGAGGGAGAGGAGGAGGAGGAGGAGAGGAGGAGGAGGAGGAGGAGGAGGAAGAGGAGGAGGAGGAGGGGAGGGGGAGGAGGAGGAGGAGGAGGAGGAGGAGGAGAAGAGGAGAGGAGAGGAGGAGGAGGAGGAGGGGGAGTAGGAGGAGGAGGGAGGAGGAGGAGGAGGAGGAGGAGGAGGAGTAGGAAGAGGAGAGGAAGAGGAGGAGGAGGAGGAGAGGGAGAACGGGAGGTGGGTGGGGGGTGGGGGGGTTATGCGGAAGGGATGAGTGTCACGAGGGAGGGAGGAGAAGAGGAAGGAAGGAGGATTGCAGTCATGCGCTTGAGCGCGCCCTGCTCGGCCTCAAGTCGAACAGTGGGTCGCCCCGTGGCATCCCGGAGAAGCGGGTGGCAACGGTTGGACCCGACGAACCGAGGAAGGGAAGAGGTGCACGGGGAGGAAGACGAGGGGAATCCTGGAGGAGGACTGTGAGCAGGACGGGGAGGAATAGGGCTGCCTCCGTCTTGCTGCGTGCCTCTATGCGCCACGCTCGGGTCCCCCCCCGCGCGCGAAGTGCAGAGCCATAGACACATATTTATGTGTCTATATTTATAACATAAATAAACCTATCGATATCGTCACACACATCTATAGGTGTGTGTGTGGCTACATTTTATCCGAACAGACAGACATCTACACAACCATACACAGATATACATATGGATCGGTCGATATGTGGGAGGCCAGGGGGTGAGATCGAAGTGGAACGGAGAGCCCCCCTACAGGGAAATCGGTTTCGGTTTCGTGTTCGTGCGTGCCGTGCGTGCGGGCGAGGCGAAGCTGCGTGGGCGGGCAAGAAATAAGTCTCCTGTAGCTGAGGCGCGGCCAGACCAAAAGTCTCCCTTCCAGCAACCAGTGCCCCGCGGTGTCCCGCCGGTGTCCCGCTCGGGGGCCGGTGGCGCGCGGTGTCCCGCCGGTGTCCCGCCAGTGTCCCGTCAGTGTCCCGATGATGATAATGATGATGATGTTGATGATGTTGAAGATGATGATGATGGTGATGGTGGTGGTGATGATGGTGTCCCGATGATGATGATGATTATGATGATGTTGACGATGTTGATGATGATGGTGCTGGTGGTGATGATGGTGCCCCGATGATGATGATGGTGCCCCGATGATGGTGTTGTTGATGATCCTGATGATGGTGATGATGATTAGATGATTTGATGATGATGATGATGAAAATGATGATGATGGTGTCCCGATGATGATGCTGCTGTTGCTGATGATACTGTTGATGATGATGGTGATGATGATGGTGTCCCGGTGATGATGCAAACGATGATGACGATGATGGTGTCCCGATGATGATGATGAGGATGATGATGAGGTGATGATGATGGCCCAATGATGGTGATGATGCTGATGTTGATGATGATGGTGTCCCGATGATGTTGTTGATGATGGTGATGATGATGATGATGATGGTGACGATGATGATGGTGTTCCGATGATGATGATGTTGATGGTGATGTTGCTAATGATGATGATGGTGTCCCGATGATGATGATGTTGTTCATGATCATGGCGATGAGATGATGATGGTGGGTTTCCGATGATGATGATGGTGTCCCGATGATCATGTGGATGAAAATGATGATGACGGTGACGATGATGGTGTCCCGATAATGATGATGGTGATGATGGTGATGCTGATGGTGATGAGATGATGATGGTGATGGTGCCCCGATGATGCTCATGATGATGTTGATGACGTTGATGACGATGATGTTGATGATGATGATGTTGATTGTGGTAGCGATTGTGATTTCGATAATGATATCGATACATAGACCCACTGTGAGATCGATTGTGAGATCGATAGTGAGATCGATAATGAGATCGATTGTGAGATCGATAGTCAGATCGATCGAATGAAATAGATAGAGAAAGATCGTTTGTGAGATCTATCGACTGAGATCGATCGAGCGAGACCGATAGTGAGATCGATCGTGATACCGATCGAGTGAGACGTTGGTTCCTCCCCCCGAACCTCCATATATCACCCGAAGGGTGGTCGTATAGGTAGAACGACATATATATACATATATAGAAGGGGAGAGAGAGATAATGACACACACATAGAGAGAGAGAGAGAGAGAGAGAGAGAGAGAGAGAGAGAGAGAAAGAGAGAGAGAGAGAGAGAGAGAGAAAGAGAGAGAGAGAGAGAAAACGAGGGAGAGAGAGAGAGAGAGAGAGAGAGAGAGAGACAGAGAGAAACCGAGCCGAGTAATGATCCAATCGTGGCCCAATGTCCCCGTGGGCATTCCCAACAACCATGAAGCTGGGCCCATGGTATAGAACCCGAGGGGGATAGGCGACCCTAGGGCCTACCCAAGGCCCTATGGTAGCCTAGGGTAGGGCCCACCCAAGGCTCTGGGGTAGCCTAGGGTAGGGCCTACCCCAGACCGTACGGACAAGTTTGACGTACGCATAGGACGTAGGCCTAGGGTAGGCCTAATGCAAGGGCCCAACGGTAGGCCTAGGGTAGGCCTAATGGAAGCGCCTAGGGGCAGTCCCAAGGTACGCCTTGGGGAAGGGCATCGGGGTAGGCCTAAGACAGGCCTAGAGAAAAGGCCTAGGGGTAGGCCTAGGAGAAGGGCCTAGCGGAAGTGCCTTGGGGAAGGGCCTAGGGGTAGCCTAGGGACGGCCTAGGGGAAGGGCGTCGGGGTAGGCCCAAGGGAATGGCCTAAGGGCAGGCCCAGGGTAGGCGTAGGGGAAGGGCCCAAGGGTAGGCCTAGGGTAGGCCCAAGGGAGAAACCCACGGGTAGGCCCAGGGAAGGCGTTCCCTCAGGGTTCTATAAGGCAGGGGCAGCGGAAGTTCCGCGCGGGTCGGGTCGAGGGGGCGGACCCTAACGGGGTAGGCCTGGAGAAGGCCTAAGGGAAAAGGCCCAGGGGTAGACCTAGGGTAGGCATAAAGGGAAAGGCCTAGGGGTAGGCCTAACAGTAAGCGTAAAGGAAGGCCTAGGGGTCGGCCTAGGGTAGGCCTAGAAGAAGGGCCTACATGACGGACCCCAACGGGCGGGTCGGGTCGTGCGGGCGGACCCTACCGGCGGTTCGGGTCGGGCGAACGGAACATTACAGTGCGGTGCATTCACGAGCGAGCACGCGTGAACCCTAACGGGCAGGTCGGGTCGGGCGGGCGGACCCTAACCGGCGGCTCGGGTCGGGCGGGCGGGCCCTAGCGGGCGGGCGGGTCGGGCGGGCGGGATATCAAAATGCTGGGCATGCGCGGGCGAGCACTCGTGAACCCTGACGGGCGGGTCGGGCGAGGCGAACGAACCCCAACGGGCGGGTCGGTCGGGCGGGCGGACCCTAGCGGACGGGTCGGGTCTTGCGGGCGGGGCATTCAAATGTGGGGCGTACGCGAGCGAGCACGCGCGAACCCTGACGGGCGGGTCGCGCGGGGCGGGCGGACCCTAGCGGGCGGGTTGGGTCGGGCGGGCGGGGCATTAAAGCGCAGGCCATATACGAGCGAACACGCATGAACCCTAACGGGCGGGTCGGGCCGGGCGGGCGGACCCCAACGGGCGGGTCGGATCGGGCGGACGGACCCCAACGGGCGGGCCGGGCCGGGCAGGCAGACTCTAGCAGGCTGGTCGGGTCGGTCGGGCGGGGCATTCAAGTGCGGGGCGTACACGAGCGAGGACGCGTGTACCCTATCGTGCGAGTCGGGCCGGGCGGGCGGACCCCAACGTGCGGGTCGAGTCGGGCGGGCGGACTCTAGCGGGTGGGTTGGGTCGGGCGGGAGGAATATTAAAGTGTAGGGCGTGCATGAGCAAACACGCGTGAACCGTAACGGGCGGATTGGGTCGGGCGGGCGGACCCTAACGGGCGCGGCTCGGGTGGACCCTCACGAGGTAAGCCTATGGGAAGGGCCCAAGGTAGGCCTGGGGGAAGGGCCTAGGGGTATGCCTAGGGGAAAGGCCTATGGGGAAGGGCCTAAGGGGAAGGGAGGCCTTGGGAAGGGCTGGGGGAAAGGGCTTAAGGGGTAGGCCTGGGGAATGCCCATCAGGAAGGGCCTAGGGATAGGCCGAAGGGAAGAGCCTAGGGGTAGGGCTAAGGAAGGCCTTCCCTCCGGCTTCTATAAGAGGGGCTCATTACTTCCAACATGCCACTAACATGCCTTGGCGATGCGCTCTATGTGGCCACCACGAGGCCGCGAAAATCCTTTTCCCGGTACAATCGGGCTTACCATCGGAAAATCTGACATTCCCTGGTGCATTTTTCCGGGAAAATCGAACATTCCCCGGTAAATCTTTGAGAAGCTTCGAAAGGTTTGATTGTCTCTCAGGAGCTTCTGAAAAGGCTTCTGACAAGCTTCTGAAAAGGCTTCTGCGAGGCTTCTGAGAGGCTTCTGAAAGGCTTCTGCGAGGCTTCTGAGAAACTTCTGAGAGGCTTCTGAGAGGCTTCTGCAAGGCTTCTGAGAGGCTTCTGCGAGGCTTCTGATAGGCTTCTTAGAGGCTTCTGAGAAACTTTTGAAAAGGCTTGTGAGAGGCATCTGAGAAGCTTCTGAGAGGCTTCTGAAAGGCTTCTGAGATGCTTCAGAGGTGGGAGGAGGAGGAAGAGCGGAGGAGGAGGAGGTCGAGGACGAGGACGAGGAGGACAAGGACCAGAGCGACGACGACGAGGAGGGGCGAACGGGAGGTCATGAGATGTTGGCTTCGCCAGCCCAGCCGCCCGTGGCTGGTTGGTTGCGTGGCTGGTTGGTTGGCTGGTTGGCGGCCCTCGGTTGGTTGGCAAGTTGCTTCATCCGTTGGCCTACCGGCGTCTACTACTCCTGCTGCTACTACTACTCCTGCTGCTACTACTACGCGTCCTGCTGCTACTACTACTTGTACTTCTACGACTACCACCACGA